CCCCCCGCCCACCCCCCCCCCCCCGCCCACCTCCCCTCACTGGTCCTGTCAGAGCGAATGTGCTGACGGTGGGGACACAGGCCGCCTGGCTCTCAAGACCTTTCCAATTCCGTGCTCCTTGTTACAGCGACAGCAGCAGCGCTAGCCGCCTCGGGGCTCTGAGGACGGTCTGTGAGCCCCGCCTGAGATCGGGGGAGCACTCAGGGAGGCTGGAGCGGCTGCTCAGGTGCAGGCAGCACCGGAGGCTGGAGCTCAGGCTGGTCCCAGCCCTGGTTTCCAGGCAGAACGTGGTGCCCCCCATCCGTGCGGCTCACCGTGCCCCACTTCCCGCCAGACCTGCCTCTGAGCGCACCGTCCGGCCAGACGAGGGCAGAGCCACACTGACACAACCACACTGCGCCGCTGCCAGGGACCGGGGGCCGGGAAGACCAGGCTGTGCTCGGCCTGGCTGGGCGGGCCCCGTGGGCCCGGAGCACTGGTTTTTACTGGCGGTTAACAGCCGCCTCGGACAGACCGGGGAGCAGGGGCCACGGGGACAGGCGCTGTGGTCCGGCCTGCCTGGGGCTGGCTCCCTGTGGGCAGGGCGGGGGGATGGGCCCCGGGGCCCGGCTGGAACCGCCTCCCAGGAGCCCTGGCGAGGTGGCCGCGTCCCGCAGGGCGAGTTTACTGTCCGCTCGGCAGAATGGCCTGCGGGCTCCGGTGGCCGTGGCCTTCCGAGTGGACGCTTACATCCATTCCTTTCGGTCCAGCCGAGCCCACTGACCGTGGGGGCCCTGGGAGCTGCGGGGTGGGGAGCCGGGCCTGGCTTCCTGGAGGCGGATCCATGTGGAGGAGCACCCCCTCGCCTTCGCCCCAGCCCCTGTCATAGACGTGCGATTTCCTGAGCTCTTGTCTCCGACAGCCTCACTGTTAGCCTCTTTTTGCCAATCCCGGTCCCTGTGGCCGCAGCTCACGGCCACTCCGTCACGGGACCCGCGCCCGGCACTGCGCCCCACGGGGACCGCTGACAGTGGCCGCAGCCCCCGCCGCCCCCGCCTCCCCCAGGCCCCGTTGGCGGCCGCCCAGGCCGGTCAGGCCCGCGGTGTCCAGCGTGTTTATAGCGTGTCGCCGGCCTCATTGGCGTAAATCCATTGCTCAACCGGACCGGGATCCGGTTACCGGAGTTTTCTCCTTTTTGCTTATTTGTTGTTCGGGAGGCCTGGGCTGGGAGTGGCAGGTCCGTGTGTAACGGTCTTTGTGCCAGAGGGGAGAGCCGTGGGCAGCTGTCCGCAGGAGGGGCTGTGGGCGGGACTGGGGCGGGCGGTGCTCACACTCCCCCGGCAGCTGGGCCTGGAGCCGGAGAGGGTCCGTCTGTGCTCCTCTCACCTCCGGGCCGTGTGCCGGGTCTTCCCCGCCGGCTCCCTCAGTCACCACGGCCCCTCCTTACCCGCCGCCCGCCGCCCGCAACGCTCCGGGGGTGGCTGGCTGTCACCTAGCAGCGCACGGGCGCCCGCGGCCTTCGTGGTGGGCACACCGACACCGACGGACAGCACAGCCCCGAGGGCAGGAGGGCGGGCTGGTCGCAGCCACGTGTGCCGGTGACACGGCCACAGCGGAGGCAGCCACGCCGCGAGCCGTGCGGAGGGCGTGCCCGAACCTGAGCGTCCCCCGGGCCCCGCAGCCCCCCAGTGCGCAGGGCCCGGTGTGCCCGGCCCCCCCGAGCGCGGGGACCAGACCCGCCTGCTGGAGCTCGTGGTGCTGGAGCCCGAGGCCGGTCGCCGTGCCGGCTGGTCCCGTTTTCCGGCACCGTCGGGGCCGGTGCTGGAGGGCGTGGGGGGACGTGCAGGAAGTGCACCGCTCTCTGTGTGGCTCTGGGCTGCGTGGCGGGAAGGGAAGGGGCCACGCCTGTGCTGACCGGGGCTGGCCGTCTGCCAGGGCAGCTGGGCTGCGTGCTCCTCCCACCACCATCGTTCGCGGAGGGAGGGTAGGAGACACGCCGGGTCCCATGGTCGGCAAAGGGCAGGCCAGCCTCTGCCCTCGGGCGTTCTGGTCCAGAGACCACCTCCAGCTGCCTCCGCCCCTCCGGGCTCAGGGTCCTGGGGGCTCAGGGGTCCTGGGGGCTCAGGGGTCCTGGGGGCCCAGGGGTCCTGGGGGCTCAGGGAGCACAGGGGTCCTGGGGGCTCAGGGAGCACAGGGGTCCTGGGGGCTCAGGGAGCACAGGGGTCCTGGGGGCTCAGGGAGCACAGGGGTCCTGGGGGCTCAGGGAGCACAGGGGGCCTGGGGGCTCAGGGAGCACAGGGGTCCTGGGGGCTCAGGGGGCACAGGGGTCCTGGGGGCTCAGGGGGCTCAGGGGTCCTGGGGGCTCAGGGGTCCTGGGGGCTCAGGGGGCTCAGGGGGCACAGGGGTCCTGGGGGCTCAGGGGTCCTGGGGGCTCAGGAGTCCTGGGGGCTCAGGGGGCTCAGGGTCCTGGGGGCTCAGGGGTCCTGGGGGCTCAGGGGCCACAGGGGTCCTGGGGGCACAGGGGTCCTGGGGGCTCAGGGAGCACAGGGGTCCTGGGGGCTCAGGGGTCCTGGGGGCTCAGGGAGCACAGGGGTCCTGGGGGCTCAGGGGCCACAGGGGTCCTGGGGGCACAGGGGTCCTGGGAGCTCAGGGGGCACAGGGATCCTGGGGGCTCAGGGGGCTCAGGGGTCCTGGGGGCTCAGGGGTCCTGGGGGCTCAGGGGTCCTGGGGGCTCAGGAAGAGGACCGGAGTCCTGTGTCCCCCCATTTGTCTCTGTGCTCACTGGACATTTCCCGCGTGTGGCGGGAGCTGGCCTCGGTCCGCAGAGGTCACACGCCGAGCGGCCTTCCCCGGGGCGGGGGGTGGGGCGGGGCGCCGGCCGCAGGAGCAGCTGCACCGCGTTTTCCGCGCGTTTCACGGTCTCTGGAGCCCCCAGACCCGTGTGTCCCGTGGGGCTGGGGACGCTCCCGGGGAGGGGACCTGTCTGTCTGCTCAGTGTTTCCCGTCTGACCCGCACGGAGCCCGCCTGGCGCAGGGCAGCGGGGGCCAGGCCGGCCGCGTCTGGGGCGCCCCCCGGGAGCCTCAGGAGGGTCACAGTCCGTGCTCCTCTCGGGAGAATCCTCATCCACCATCCGAGGGGCTCAGGCTGATGGAGGGCAGCCCCTTCCGCTCCTCCCAGGCCTCTGCGCGCCCCGGGCACCCGGGGGTGTCCGCCACCCAGAGCAGCCTTCCCGGCCGCGGCCTCCGGCCATCTCCAGGGGGCTGGGCAGGGGGCACCGTGTGAGGGTGAGCGAGGCTGTCCATCCCTGGGGGACGGGGACGGGACGTAGGAACCTGCAGGCAGAGGCTCCCCTGTCGTCGGTCAGCCCCTCCCCATCTGTCAGTCCCTCGGGTGCGAGCTGAATAGAGCTAACCTCACATCTCTGGAGCCAGTGGTCAGACGGCATTGGCATTCAGAGTGAAATTCCTCACTGCAGCCCAGCTGGCAGAGGCGGGGCGGGGACATGGGGGCAGGGGGCTCCGCTCCGGCGCTCAGCTTGTCCGGGGCGGGAGGGCCCCTGGGCCTGGACTCCAGGAGCCTGGTTACGGTTTCAGGAGAGGAAAGCCTCCTCCTGCAGGCCTCGCGGGTGAGTCATGTGCTCGCTTAGGGAACTCCCTTCAGTCCCGGTTAATAAATTATGTCTTTCCGTGCTTCGTGCTTTAAGGAAGCCCTTGGCTCGGTAGCCTGATATAAGGGGGGAGAGGGTGGTGCTGGGAGAGAGGGCTGGCCCCAGCCTGGTCGGCTCCGTGGACACGGCGTGGGCCTGCGGACCAAAGGGCCCCGGGTTCGATGCTGGTCAAGGCACGTACCTCTGGTCTGGCGCGTGCAGGAGGCAGCCAGTCGGTGTCCCTCTCTCATGTCAATGTTTCTCTGCCTCCCCCTCTCCCTCCCACTCCACGTCTGTGGGAAACACGCTCGGTGAGGACGAGCTAAAGAAGTGGGTCGTTGTGTGAGTTTACCCAGAGCGGAAGCTGAGTCCAGGGGCGGAGCGTGCCTGGCGCCCGGTCCCCAGCCTCCCCGCTCCTTCCTGCGGGACCCGGGCCTCGGGCGGGGCCTGCCACGGGCTCTGGCCACCTCCCCGGTGTGCGGCGAGACCGGGCGGCAGGCGGTTCGCTCACCGCCGCAGCCTTTCCCACGCCCTCCATCGGCGTCCCCTCTGTGCCGTGTGGTCAGCAGGCGGCGTGGCCGGCACCGGCGTTCTGTGGTTTTATTTTCAAACGCTGCGAAGACATTGCCACCCGGCGGCCCTGGCTGGTTGGGCTCGGGGTAGAGCGTGGCCGCAGACTGAAGGTCCTGGGTTCGATGCCCTCGGCTGGGGCTCCGTCCCCGGCCCTGGTGGGGGTTGCCGGTGTTTCTCTGTCTCTCCCGCCTCCCACTCTGAATGCTCATGGGAAACCCTTCGCCAGGGGGAGGCGGGAGGCACGGGAACAGCCCTGACGGTGAGGCCGGGCTGGGGGAGCCCGAGTCTGCCGCCCTGGAGAGCCGTGGCGTCAGGGCCCGGCCGCAGCCGCTGGGCGGGCGTTGGTGGTGCGGGGACTCAGTAACGGAAAAGCGAGCGAGAAGGCGTGACCGAAACTCCGTGTTGCCACTGACCGGAGCTTCTTAGGAACGCTCACTGGGAGCCTTCCTCTCTGAAATCAATAAAAATATATTTAAAAAAAGAAAAATGAAAAAGAAACACTCCTGGCCGCCACACACACACACACACACACACACGCACACGCGCACACACACGCACACACGCGCACACACGCACACACACACACGCACACACACACACACGCACACACACGCACACACACGCACACACACACACACACACACGCACGCACACACATTCTAACCACAGCCGTGATGGTTTCTGGAAAGTCTGGGCACCCCGTTTGGGCCGGGTCTCCCCGAAGCCCCTCCCCGCTCCCCCCTCACCTGTGGGTGTGAGAATGTCCCGGTCACTGACAGGCCGTCTCCTCCGTCCCTCCAGGTCAAGAAGTACTTCGAGCTGGAGCCGCTGGCGCGCGGGCAGCGCTGGATCCTGCAGCCCTGCTCGCTGGGCGACGTGGCCGCGCTGAAGGACAGCTTCTCCCGGCTCATCCAGCTGCTGGAGGAGAAGGACCAGGAGGCCGCCCGGGTGTGAGCGGCCGGAGGGGGCCGGGCTCGGAGGACGGGAGCGGCTGGAGCGGGTCCTGCCGGAGGATGAGTGGCCGGGCCTCGGGCCTGGGCCTCGGGCCGGTGCCCACCGTGCCCTGTGGGTGAGGCGCCCTCGTCATGGCTCGGCGTCTGTTCTCCCGTCGTCTCAGACTCATCCCGGCCCCGGAGCGAACGCACTCCCAGCAGCGATCGGCGGCATGAAGGACGAGCACACACTACCGGGAGACGCGGCTCTCTCCTGGCCACGAACCGTCTCCGCGCGTCTCTCCGCTCCGCGCCCCGCCAGGAGGCGCCAGGAGCCCGGAGCCCTCTCTCCGAGCCCGTGGGGGGCGCCGTGCTCGGTGACGGGCTCCCCGGACCCCGTCTCCTCCTCAGCATCTCCCGGGGGGTTGTTCGTTACGCTCTGTGGTTGTATTTTTTAGCTTTTTGTATTCTCGTAGATCATGGGGGGAAAGTGAGCCCCGGAAATTCCATTCCCCGCGTCAGCATGGCGGTCCCGCGGGGGGCGAGCTGGAGGACTCAGGGACGGGACCGGCGTCTCCGTCCGCGCTCCCTGCTCTGTCCCTGGCCGCGTTCTCCGCGGTTCCGATGGGAAGAGGGCCCCGCACAAGCCAAGCCGCCGCTGACTGTCCTGTCTTTTTCTAAAAGATCTCGTTTCTGATTAAAATAGAAAAAATAAGTTTTCCGGTAACAGATAGCATTTTTAACAGCCACCCGCCCGAGGCTGGTGCGTGCCGCCCATGGGATGAGCCGGTGTGGAGTGACTGGCCAGAGTCCGTGTCTGTCAGTCCTCACATGCTCACGCAGTTCGGCGGGGCCTGCCGCGTCCCCATTCGGTGCACAGGCGTGTCTGCGTGTCCAGTGTGAACCCCGATGTTCAGGGGTCTCCGTGCACCCTCCCAGCAGGACTGACATTGCCTAGAGATTAGCGGACAGCTTCCTGGCACATGGCACCTTCGATCCTTTCCAAATCAGGAGCCATCAGGCTGCTGAGGTTTATAGTTGAGATGCTCTTTGGCACGTTTTGTACATTTTTGACCACCTGCGATGCTGAGCGGCCAGTGACAGGAGCTGCCCCTCCCCGGAGCAGTGGACGCTGCTCCGGGGTTTGAGGGCCGTGGCCGAGTCCCCAGCACTGCAGCCCGCACGGGGCCGGCCGCACTGCCACGGCCACGCCTCGTCACACCCCGGGAGGCGTGGCGTGTCCCCGCAGCCTTCGTGGCTTCCTCTCGTGGGCGGGTTTTAACAAAATCAGCGCCTGTGGGACCTCAAGCATCATCTGCAAGCTTTTCTCTTTCTTAATCGAACGGACCCAGGAGATCCGTGTTCACGTGTGTCTGCGGCATCGTGGTCTCTGGACACGGCGGCTGCGAGCAGCACACGCCCTCTCACCCCGATGCCCGTCCCCGTCCTGGATCCTGTCCTGTGTGCTCCCCTCCGTGACACGTGAGGGAAGATCCGGGCCTCCTCCGCAGCCTCATCACATGCAGGCCAGGTCTGGAGGCGGCTGACTGCCTGCAGCCATCTGCTCCGTGACTCCCCGTGCGTGCGTGTGTGTGCTTGTGTGTGTATGTGTGTGTGCCTGTGTGCGTATGTGTGCCTGTGTGTGCCTGTGTGTGTGCCTGTGTGTGCCTGTGTGTGCCTGTGTGTGTGTGTATGCGCACGTGTGTGCCTGTGTGTGTGTGTGTGCGTGTTCACGGCGCGCCTCCTCCGCAGCCTCATTACCTGCAGGTGGCGTCTGGAGGCGGCTGACTGCCCGCAGCCATCTGTTCCATGACTTCCCGTGCATGTGTGTGTGTGTGTGCCTGTGTGTATGTGTGCCTGTGTGTGTGCCTGTGTGTGCCTGTGCATGTGTGTGTGTATGCGCACGTGTGTGCCTGTGAGAGTGTGTGCGCGCCTGTGTGTGTATGTGTGTGCCTGTGCATGCATGTGTGTGTATGCGCACGTGTGTGCCTGTGAGAGTGTGTGCGCGCCTGTGTGTGTATGTGTGCGCCTGTGCATGTGTGTGTGTGCACACGGCGTGCCTCCGCAGCGGCTGCTGTCTGCCCGCCACCCGCCTGCCCACCCTCTGGCGGGAAGCACGATCCAGCAGCGCCCCGGCAGCTGCTCACCAGCTCCTGTCTGACGCCTGATGCCTCACACCGTCAGGGGCTCCGTCTGGCGCTCCTGCCCGTCTCCTGGAATGTGCGCGGTCGGAAATCTCGGGGGAAGCCGTGTCCGGAGCCCATGCAGCCAGCGCCACAGGTGCCCGTGGGCGTCCGGAGCGTCCTGCTCCGTGTCCCTCCCTCCGGCCGTCCTGCCGTCACGTGGCCGGGAGTCCCGGTGCCTTCTGGACCACTGCGCCTCCGCGCGGGGCTGTGTCCCTGCCGCCGCGCCCTGTCCGTGCCCGTGGCCATCAGCTGGACAGCGGCCGGGCCGCAGGACCAGGCATCCGGGTTTATGCTGAGAATGAAGGCTGAGCAGAACCGGTGCAGACTGGTCCTGAGGGCGGGAGCCGGGCTCTGTGGGCACCGGGCCTGTGGAGCCTGCAGTGGGCTCTGCGGCCGTGGTCAGCGGTAGACGCGGCCCCCGAGGGAGCCGTGAGGAGGGAGGACCCTGCCCGGCGAGGAAGACGGTGTGCGGTGTGTCCTGGGCACAGTTCACGTGCTGAGCGCCCCCCACACCCGCGTGAGGGGAGGCGGGGGGAGGTGCCACCCCTAGAGCAGCTGGGAGGGCCCGTGGCGCCCCCAGGAGGTGGGTGAGCGTGTAAGGACTCGAGGAGCGACCGCAGGTCCCCCTTAAAGGATACGCAGCTGCGAAGGCAGAGGCAGTGAGGCGATGGAGGACTGAGGACAGAGCAGGACGGGGCGGGCGTTCGTGCCCCTCGGCCCGCCCGGGTGCCGTCCTGTTCTCTGGCCGCGTCCCCCCGAGGGCGGCCGCCGAGGGCTTTGTTCCCAGCGGGAGCCGTGGGCGCCCTGTGCGTCTCCGTCCCTCCACCACGCCCAGGGGGCAGATGGGGAGGTTTGGAAGCCGAGGGGGGCTTACGTGCAGGCAGCGGGGACGGCTGGGGCCCCAGCCTCAAACGTGCGCAGGGGCTCCCCACCCGGCGAGCTCGGCCCCATGTTCAGATCCCGGGCCCTGGGCTGAAGGCACTGAGTGTGAGCCCTGGGAATCTTTTTATTTTAAATACATTTGTAGTGATGTCAGAGGGGAAGGGAGGGAGAAAGGAACATTCATGATGAGAGAGAATCATTGACCAGCTGCCTCCTGCGCACCCCCCACTGGGGATCAGGCCACAACCCGGGCCTGTGCCCGGACCGGGACTCAAACGTGGCCTCCTGGTTCCTAGGTCGACGCTCAGCCCCTGAGCCACGCCGGCTGGGCAGAAACCTATATCTAAGCGGCTCCCTCGGCGATGCTGACCACCTGCCTTTAGGGCCGAGGGCTGTGTCGGGGCCAGAGCAGGGGGTTAGCGTCTGGGAGCTGTGTGTCGGGCTGTCCCCTCCCCTGGGCGCCCGCAGGGAGACCCCGCTGTGCCGGCCTCGCTCTGCGGTGTGAGCCGTGGCTGCGCAGGTGCTGACTGCCCGCTGAGGTGCCTCCCGTGGAGACGGGCCTCTGGGAGTGGAGGGACCTGGGCTTGGGCCGGGAGCAGGAGCAGGAGCAGGTCACTGAGGATGGAAGGGAGCGCTGAGCCGGAGAGAAGGCGGCTCTGCCCGGCAGCTGGCGGCCCAGCCCTGCGCCAGCCTTGGCAGCAGGGAGGTGGCTGGTGGCTCCATGTGCAGAAACCAACTGGCAGAGCCTCAGTGCACATGGATTTGTCCCCGAGGCTGGTCAGCCCTCCCTTCCCCTCTCCCTCTCCCTCCCCCTCCCCCTTTCTCAGCCTCCTCTCCCTCCTCAGAACAGGGGCCTCTGTCACCATGGAGCTGGTTGGGTCCCAGTGACTGGAGGCTAAAGTGTGTGCAGAGGTGGGGGGGCGGGGGAGAGAAGGAAAAGCCACTGCCCAGTGTCTCCTGGAAGAGTCAGTGCTTTAGCCAAAGGCCAGGAGCACCAATAGCCCACACTGCTCTCCTCCCAGACACCCCGACTCTGGCCAAACCCTGGATGTCTGCACGTCTGATAAAAGCAGAGGGAGGACCAGGCTTTGAGGGGCATCCCCTCGTTCGCCCCGCCCATCCCTGCTGGCACCCCTCACTGGGCCGCCCTACAGCCCCTCAGGCCTATAGCACCCACAGCCCCTACAGCCCCCCCACAGCCCCCACAGCCCCCCCACAGCCCCCACAGCCCCTATAGCCCCCACAGCCCCTATAGCCCCCCACAGCCCCCACAGCCCTAGCCCCCACAGCCCCCACAGCCCCTACAGCCCCCACAGCCCCCACAGCCCCCACAGCCCCTATAGCCCCCACAGCCCCTATAGCCCCCCACAGCCCCCACAGCCCCTATAGCCCCCACAGCCCCTATAGCCCCCACAGCCCCTATAGCCCCCCACAGCCCCCACAGCTCCCACAGCCCCTACAGCCCCACAGCCCCCACAGCCCCTATAGCCCCCACAGCCCCTATAGCCCCCCACAGCCCCCACAGCCCCTACAGCCCCCTCAGCCCCCCCAGCCCCCCCACAGCCCCCACAGCCCCCACAGCCCCTACAGCCCCCTCAGCCCCCCCACAGCCTCCCCACAGCCCCCACAGCCCCCCCACAGCCCCCACAGCCCCACAGCCCCTACAGGAAGGTGACCAGACGTCCCGCTTTAATAATTTGTCCCGCATCCTGCAGCGTTTCCAAAAATGGGGACTGTTTTAAAACGCTGAGGGACGCGGGACGCCTGGTCACCTACCCCACAGCCCCGGAGCCCCACAGGCGCACGGGCTGGGAAAGCCATCAGAGCGCGGTGCCGCTGTTGCCTTCACACCCCTGTTCGCTCCCGGCGAACTGATTTGCAGCTGAGAAAACAGCGCCCGCTCCCTCAGAGAGGAACGGCCCGGCTGAGACGGCAGGCCGGCGGCTTACAGACGCTGATGCAAACAAGCACCTCAAACGGAGCTGCGGACGGACGCTTCCCGGTCTGTCCGGCTCCTCGGACCCGCCCGCAGCACCCTGTGCCGGTCCTGGGCAGCCGCCTCACTGCCCAGCACGTGGGAGGTGCAGGCCCGGACTGAGGGGCCAGGTGGGACTGACACACCCCAGACGTCCAGGCCTCGTGCCCCCGAAGGTGAGCTGTCTTCCCTGACATGCACACAGGCTTCTATTCCTTCACTAACGGACCCGGAACCCAAGGCCCGATGGTGACCTTCTAAAAGTGACCACATTCAACAACACGGTTCTCTCCATGTGATGTCTTCCTTTATTTATAAACATACTTATTGCCGAAACCGGTGTGGCTCAATGGATAGAGCGTCGGCCTGCGGACTGAAGGGTCCTGGGTTCGATTCCAGTCAAGGGCATATTCCTTGGTTGCGAGCACATCCCTGGTAGGGGGCGTGCAGAAGGCAGCTGATCGATGTTTCTCTCTCATGGATGTTTCTAGCTCTCTATTCCTCTTCCTTCCTCCCTGTAAAAAGTCAATAAAATATATTTTAAAAAATAAAATGTTCTTATTGTCTGACTTTTCCATGGGTTTCCTTTCGGCCTTCCTCCGCGTCGGCCTCAGGTGTGCACACAGTGGTCACACCTTCCCAGAGGGTCACACCTTCCCAGAGGGTCACACCTTCCCAGAGTCCCCGATATCCCTCCCGCCCGGCGCCCTGCAGAGTCACGGGCGCTGCCTGAGGACAGCGGCAGGCTCCACCTGAGGCCTCCTGGA